TTTTTTTTTTTCTTTTCTATACTCAGATGATAATGTCCGTTCAGCCACGCGAATATTTAAGAAGCTTCCTCGAACAGCGAAGCTCCTTCAAACGAAGCCTAATTTCACCCTGGTTCATCAATCAGGTCTGATTTTGATACACCCCTAATTAGTTCAATTTTATCCAAATTTAGATCACTTCAATTTCCATAGTGAACTCGTTGTCGTAAATCAACCAAAGAAGTGAGATAAATTCTAAACGATGGAGAATATTTCAACCTAATTCACAATCCTAACAGCACTATGGTATATAAGTTAAAACCCCATACCTGTAATACATAAATAGTATCATAATTAGTTTGAAATCCCAGTAACTTCTTACAACTATATCTCACAAGACAGTTAGCAATCAACTATTAGACATTAGAGAACACCAGAATAGCAGCATATCACAACACATAAAACTTACACAACCCCTAGGAAAACCGAAACCCCATATCTACAAACCAAACCCTAATTCCCGTTACTCACCTCCTTCGAAGCCGCCTTTTGTCCTCCCGAATCATTTCCCATCATCTTCTTAAACTCGTCATAATTCACACATCCATCACCGTCAGAATCCACAGAATCAATCATCCGCGAGCAATCATTGGAAGAACACCTCTCCCCCAGCCTCTTAAGCACCAGATGCAGCTCCTTCACTGAAATCAAGCCGTTCCCGTCCATATCGTAGATATCGAACGCATCCTTGATGTCCTCCTCCCCCTTGACCGGACCATCCCCAGCGCGGTTGAAGTGAGCGAACTCACCTAGATCCACGAAACCATCCTGGTTAGCGTCCATTTCCTCGATCATGGACCTCAGCTCTTCATCGGAGACGTTGGACCCGAGAGCGCGCACAACGTTTCCGAGCTCGGAGGCTGTGATCTTGCCATCACCATCGGTGTCAAAGCGATTAAATACCTTTTCTACTTCATCCATGTTCTGAATCCCAGCAGGTGATTTCGCCATTGATGCTGTTTTGTTGCTCTTCTGCGAGATCGGATTTGTGTGGGATGGATATAAATAGGAAATGGGTAGAAGAGTGGGCTTCAGTGAGATGCCGGTTTTGGGATTTCGGTCCATTTTTAAAATGAGTAAAATAAAAAAAAAAAAAAGATTTCAATCGAACGCGTTTTAGCCGCGGGAGGACACGAGGCGATTCGGTATGCGGTGGTGATGACATGTGCCGGGTAAGAGGGGACGGACACATGTCATCTGGAGATTGGAGATGCAGTGAATTACTATTATTTTTTAGATTTTATTTTATTTTTATTGATTGACCCATGTTTACAAACTCATGAAATAAGTCTCTTGGGGACTGCTTATTTGATGCGGTGACGTTTTAAAAACGCACCTGATCTGTATGGGTAAACTGTATTTTGACAATTTATGCATTTTTAAAATGCTGAAAATAACATTTTCACACCGCACCTATTTAGTTGTGGTGGCAACTTTCTTGCAGCAGTTTGACTTTTTCAAAAAACATGTTGAAAATAACATTTTCACACCGCACCTATTTAATTGTGGTGGCAACTTTCTGGCAGCAGTTTGACTTTTTCAAAAAAATAAAAATTTATAATAACCACCACACATAGCTGTCAACAGATTATTTTTAATTAGCTTATCAGCAGATTATTTAATAAGCTGCAGTTGTCTCAAACATACCCTAAGAATGATATTTTCAAGATCAGAACTAAACTTGGTGTCCTTCTCGCAGTGGATACGTTAACTTCAAAAGTTACTAGGTTAACTTATGTGAGAGTCGGTATTCCTTTTAATATTGAATTATCTCTTTTAGTTAATATATTTTCTTAATGTGAACATTAAAGATATAGTCCAACAGGTTATTTATGAAGAGAGATCTAATCCTTATAAAATTTGTTCTACTTTTGCTCATGATTCTCTGAATTGTTCTAAGTCACCCTCATATAAGTCTGCACCTATTGTTTCTACTTTTGCAGGTCAGAATCACAACAGAAATTTGAATTCTAGAGCTCTTAGAAATGTTATTAATTTGATTATCTCGATTTCTCATTCTTCACCTGTTAGGGTTTCTTAGGGTATAAATTCTTCCTACTAATGATATTCTTATTTCTGTGAACATTGCTAATATTCAACATTTAATTAATTATATTCTTGTTACCGGTATCATTTAATTATTACATACCCCCTAATCTTAATATTTTTTTATGGTTCTTCTAATAATAGTGAATATGGTGATGATCATATTTCCTTTATTGACGTTAGTTTGCATAGTGATGCTTGTTGAAGTGATTTTTATTCTGCCTTCTGATAGAGTTTTACTTTGACAATACTTTGGTGAGTAATTTTGTTATTGAGAATATCAGATTTTTTAATTTTTATGTCTCAATGAATATGGTGCATAATGATATCTCTTCTTCTAATAATTCTTCATGTTGGCCTACTTCTAAAATGCAATCTAAAAGAAAGCTTTTTTTACTTTCTTTTTCTATTGTATTTTTTACTTTTTTTTAGTGTTTTTTTAATATTACTTCATAATATTATTATTTAGAATGTATGCGTTGAATAATATTGATCAGATTGTTGATTGTAAGAATCTCCTTAAAGATAATAAGGTTGATTTTTAATGTCTTTTAGAAACCATACTTTCCTCTTCCTCTCCTTCTGATTTGGTTACTTTAAATACTTTCAAGTTATTTCCTAATGAATTTAGTTTCAATAATTTTAGTTATTATGAAAATGCAAGGATTTGATTAGATCAACTGAAATTATGAGATTTTGTAATCTTTTATTTTAAATATTAACTCCCAATGCATATATGGTCTTACTTCTTTTTCTTCTTCTAGTAAAATTTTCATTATTGTTCTTTATGCTAACAATGATGCTTTTGTCAAAAAAGATTTGTGCAATCTAATTAATTATATTGAGGTGAATGTAAATGATCATTGAATCTTATTAGATGAATTGGGGGTAACCTTCTTAGTCCTATTAGACTTTTTTATTTTAAAAATTGTATTACTTTTTTTGGCCGTATTGAATTGCATAATATTAGTTTTTCTTATAACTGGTTTAATAATTAGCTATAGAATCTTATTAAATGTTTATTATATAGGGTTCTATGTAATACTATTTGGCTTAATTTATTTCCTCATTTTTTTTAAGTTATGAATTCTCTTTCTTCTGATTATTATCCTATTTTTGTTTCCTTGGGCAACCCACTATAAATACACTACTGGAATTTAGCTTATTACTAACAACCTAACACCATCAGAAATTATTTTAAAATCACTGACAAAGTAATTATTGACAGTTAAACTACAGTTTATTTGACATAGCAAAATGGCTTGTCGATAATTAACTTACTTATGGTGTTACCAATGGTTTTATAGCACTGGCTGTATGTCGTCAAACGTAACATGTCACTATTGGTTAAAACCCATAGCATTGTTATGCTATTGGTTTCCATCGGTAATATCATTGACACCCTTAGCCTTCGACAAAGTGTAGCACAATCGTAAAAAAGTGTCGTGCTTCTGCTGGAAAGTGTTGCACGACTATCAGTTGGTCGTGGGTAATTACCGACAGCTTTAACTATCAGAAAAGTATGGTGCCTTAGGAAGACGTCGCTTATTTGATAATCTGTCAAACAATTGCCAAAACTCATCTAAACAGTCGTAAAGTTGTTCCTAAGCCGTCGAAAACCTATAATATTATAAAAAAATAAATCTCCTTTTTCAACACTAGAATTTACACACCTGCAATAGTAAGACTATAATTTTCACACAACACATCACACTGTACTAATCGAAGTAGTTATTAAGCTAATATTACAGTAGTAATTAGCACTCTCGCATCATACGATATAAGTGAATATTCAAAATGAAATTCTATTTTGAACAATGATATAAGTAAAGCTTTTATAATGTCATAAACATAATGTTCAAAGTGAATTTTCATTTTAACAATGAAAATTAGATATCTCATTGGATGATGAAGTTAACACTCTTACACCATATGAAATATTTATTTCTCAAAATATGTTTAAAGGTGTGAAAGTAACTAGTAAATAATTGCAGAGATGAGAATGGTTAAGTTTATGATTGGCTTTACACTTGGAGAAAAAATAAAAAACAAATGTCTCTGAAATGGTTGGTGTAGCTACAGTAGCAGACAATATTAGAGGGATGTGTCTTAAACGATTTAACCTATAGATTTAACTTAAATCCAACCAAACAACAAAAAAAGCTAAATATTAATTTTACTTATCCATTAATTCATAATAAATTACGTTTCATTGTTTTTTCGAATCAGTGTTGCACTGAGTAAAAATATTTGCATACCTAACATCATATGAAGGTTAAATGATCCGATTTCACGCCGAGCAACAGTCACTCGGAATAATTTATATCTAAAATGTTTGCTCGTAGCTCAGTGTACTTATTTTTATACGAGCTTGATGTACGGCCAAAATTTTTATCAATTTTTGAGCAATTGTTGTTGTTCAAGCTAAATTCATACACTTACCCTAAGCACCACCTAATTTCTACATACTTCCAAAAATTCCAACAAATTCAATTAGGGGTTGTCTCGTAATGGGTTTAAACTACGATTTAAATGAAATTTACGCTAAATCCTGACAGGCGGTCGTTCCGGGCAAAATAGAATCTCAAATTCTGTAAATATGGATCCAACGGAGTTGGCCGTTAAAGCCTAGATTTAGTAAATCCTACAAACCAATGGATTTACAGTTTTAAACTTTGTCAGCTACTCAACAATTATTTAGATTTAACACATTCCAGATTTAATAAATCTAGATTTATAGGATTGATTGAATTCTGGTAATTTAAATTTCATTTATTACCAGACAACACATTAATGCCGAAATTAATGGTATCTAATTTTATACAATTCATCAAAATACGTAAAATCCGGCACTAATGTCATTCTAATTACATGCATTTTTGGATTTTCCAAAGTGTTTACCTTAAACTCTAAACTATAAACCCTTTACACTTGGAGACAAAATGTAAAACAAAAATATCGGTGGAAGGGACGTAAAATCCGGCACTAATGTCATTCTAATTACATTCATTTTTGGATTTTCCAAAGTGTTTACCTTAAACTGTAAACTATTTACACTTGGAGACAAAATGTAAAATAAAAATATCGGTGGAAGGATTGATGATCTAGCTAGGAGAGTACATGTTACAGAT